CTTTCTGGATACTGCACARTGTGCATTGCTTCAGGTACTTGTGCTTCTCTAGGAGCCCCAGAAAGGCTGGAAAATAACAATACAGGAATAAGGTAACAGCAAGCAACTTGTTACACCTGAAAATATGGGTTACTCTGTGGTCTGGGACCATGTTTGACAGTGCTTGAGTAGTCACACTTGTATCTCCTCATTTTGGAAAGCTGATTTAGTAGATTGATGGAGCATTTGAATTGGGACATGAAAGCTGGTGGGATTCACAGAGTACACGTGTGAGGCAGCAGCAAAGATATCTTTGTCAAGATYCCAAAAACAGTCATTCTTGCCTTGCTGATACTGCTCTGCATGTTTGAACTCCCAGCCTTGTCTGACTTAGCTACTGTTAACCACTATCCTGATACCACAGCCAGGCTGGGTGTGTGACYTATGGTTTGCACATTTTTGCTTTCCTCTCATTCGTTTGATGAGCATCTTCAAGCATTCAGACCATTCCAGTAATCTGAACAACTTGAAYTTTTCTTATTTTTCAACTTTTATCACTTTTCTGCTGTTTCTGGAGTTACAAAGGCAGAASTAGATTTTTGGGATCCTTTTCACCTAAGTAATTTCACTTGCAGTTGGTTGAAGTCAGTTTTTAACTCTGTGGGGCCTGTTAGYATTTCTCAGTCTTATAATTTACTTGTTCTTATCACTTCAGAACACTTTTCATATACAATGTGCAGATACTGAAAGCAGATGTGTAGGCCTGTTAAATATTTTGTTTTCTATGCCTGTGACTTCCCAATCAGAGGGAATGTGTTGTGCTCCTTGAAAAGAAGCAAACAGAATACATTTGGTAAGTATTCCATATGATGAAGTCTTTTTRCAAGAGCTATAATTAATTTAAAGGTGATTTCTTCAATATTGAAATACAAGCTTATGTAACAATGAGAAGAAAGTGAGAATTCAGTGACAAAACACAGCCTCMAGGCAATGCAGGATCTAAAACCTTATATGTGGTGTGTGCCTTCAAATGAGGAGGGCAAACTTTTTTATTGTAGAGTGATAAAAAGCAACACTTACAGGAGATTTTTCTGTCTTTGAAGATGGARGGAGCTGCTGTTTCCAGCTGCCAGCTGACAGTGTACATTGCCTTTTACTCTTATTCTCATTAGAGCTAAGTGGGGTTTGACTTTTGAACTTCATCATTCAGTTCAGACTTAGTCRTAGAGCAGTGTCTGTTCTTCCCCCAAAAGGACACTTGGGTGGGAGGAGAGGCCAACAAATCAAAGTTGGGGGATGTTTGCAATGATACCTCATCTTCTCTAAAAGAGTTGGGATAATGAGCAGTGTAATTAACCTTGAATTTCAGGTGCTGGACTTGACAAATCAGAGCACTTCTCATTCTATGGTAAATTAAATCGTTAACTCCAGGGCAGTCTTAGGTTATTAAGCCACTACCTGCAACCAGATCAATAAATGAGGGGAGAAAGATTAGGTTGTAAGGAAATAGAGGAATTGCAGCAGTACTGAAACATATTTGAGTAGTGGGAATAGCTTTGCAGAACTGAATATGTAGAGGAATAAAGACTACATGTGAGTTGAMTTTTCTGTTTCAAGCTGAGACTGCAACTGCATTTGTTCAGTGGAGACAGTGAGGGACTCAGCTCCTCTGAGAGCTTCAGGCTGAATACCATCAGTACCTTGAAGGTACCAGGGTGGGATAATAAAGTGGTGAAAGATCAGAATTCTACCATATCTTACCCAGAGTTCTGTTCAAGGAAAAAAGCTCAGCTTTGCTCTCCTTCACAGCTCTGTAAGGCTTTCTCCCTAGCAGTGTTTGGCTGGCACAAGAAGTTCCCAGAGTTGTGATCATTTGGTTATACAAAGCGGTTGTGGGCACAGAATTCAAGTAACTGATACTGAAGCAAATTTTTTTTAAATAGGAGGTTTGTCTGCAGCTGAACTTTGCTTCTTGCACTGTTTGCAGTTGCTCTGTTGCAGCAGGCTTTGTTTCAGCTTTATAGCTACGGTGGGTGTCGAGTTGCCATAGCTACTGGGCATTATGCTGCCTTTATGTGGACTCCAGAGTGTATTCCAGGAGGATCAGGTGCAACTTCTGAATAATTGATCGTGTCCAGAAAAAGGGAGTAGGAGTTTTGTTTTGGAGGGTGTTTTTCACCTTGTTCTCTGCTGTTACCACCAGTGAAAATTTCAGTAGCCACAATCCTAAGAAAGCTTCTCCATATGATATCTGAAATAATCTTTCCTTTTAGGACATTATTGCATTGTCCCCTTATAAATATTACCTTGGATATAAATATTCTAGTGGGGGCTTGTAACAGCAGCTTCCCTGTGTGACAGTCCTGGGAGCACACCCTTCTCACAGGGTTTCTCTGCGTGCTCCAGAAAATTTCAGGCTCCTTTGATTTCCTTCCCGTTTGGCAGGACAGGGATGTGCTGGCAAAGGGATGTGTGAGCAGATGGGTTTCCATGGGCAGCCTGGCCAGCCYAGCCCGTGTCCTGCAGAGTGGCTGTTCTCCAGCTCTGCTCCAAAAGCAGCTCTGCGCTCCTGGGGCTTCCCAGCTGTTAAAACACAGGAGGCACAACTCCTGGGATATTAGAATAGCAACCCCCATGCCCTTTGTGGTGGTTTTTTGGTCTGAGAAAATGCCATTTTCCTGTGCCAGAGGGTCCAGGCAGCTTCTGAGATACTGGTTGTGGGGTTTTTTTTCCTGAATTGCATCATGCTGATGATGTGCAGARGGAGAAAAATCAGGAGTGACCTGTGTCTCCATGTCTGGAGGTTTGGGGGTTTTGTCAAAAAAGCTTCATGCTGCAGGGAAGATTTGGACACGTATCAGTGACTTCTGGCGACTCAGTCTCTGTAAAACCAGCCTTCCTAAAACTAAAGGAGGTACTGCAGCCAGAGAGAGACATTGCATTGTCTGGTTTATCTGAAAAATCAGCAAAGACTAACACGTGACAAAAAACCCACAAAAACCCAAGCGCAAAACCAAACAACCCAAAACTGAGTATTCAAGATTTTCTTCATATGTATGTAAATATGTAAATTGGCATTACTAGATCCAGAGGCTGGCAAAAGGAAAGCAGCTGAATGAAATAAATGAAGCTGCACACATGGAGCCAAGAGGATGATTAATCATTGGAAAGAGTTCTCAAAGCAAGGTACTTTCCCAGGCACTGCTTAGTCAAAAGTGTTTTAACTGGGTTTTGTGAGGAAGTAAAAGGGTAAAACTTTGGTGGCACAGCTGTAGCTCAGGAACCCTGTGAAAACCTGAGACAAAGGTGGCATCATGGATTTCAACTCCAGAAGGGTACCTGTCTTCACTTGAATGAGCAAATATCTGGCTTGGCTTTAGATGTCACTGGCAATAAATAATTGGTATTTACATAGTTGTTTCTATTAATAACATTTCACGCTTGCAGGAGGGCACATGTGATCTAGAGCTAGGTAAACAAGCACAAGGGCCAAGTGAGTCAGCAGTAGGTCTGGAAAAAGAACCCGTGTTTCYTGGATGCCTGGCTGAAGCAGGTTTGTTTTCCTGGGAGGACTCAGCTGCCTGAAATCCAGGATGTTCTCCAGTCCAYGGGGAGCTGTGATTCACTGAGATCCACTGTGCCCTGACCCACCAAGGAATCCTACCCTGAATTAACGCATGGGAAAAAACAGTTAAAGAAAAATTCCTATCAATACCTGTGACAGGCTTGGGAGGCTTTCCATGAAAAAGTTGTTGAGTTCTGGCTTTATAATTCCTGGGGAGAAGTAGTTCATTTGTGAAGGACTTCTGACTTCTACWGAGGGAGATTTAAACTTCAGTGTTATGAGGTGATGAACTACTACTTGGATTGGAATAAAAGCTCCATGGATACAGAGGCAGGAGAGGCTGAAATGGTGTTTGCTGTGCACTTGGTTTTGCTGTCCCTGGGGTTGCTCAGAGCTGCAGTTTCACCCTGCCATCACTCAGTCCAGCCTTCACTCTGTTTTCTCACTGCATCTTTCCTTCAGAGACCGGGTGGCTGTTGTTTCACAGGATATTTCTGGAATTCTGTTCATGTCATGTTTCTGTGCTTTCAGGCACAAAAGTGCAAATATTACCTTCATTTGTTTGGAGATGAATTTAAATTAGATTGTTTCCCTCAGCTACTCGCATCTTGAGGTTTTTGCAGTAACTGTCATTAGCTTGTGTAATTATATTGCCAATGGAAAAATCATGGATGGGAACCTTGGAAGAAATGAAAACAAACCAAAAGAAGAATGATGAGTCTATAAAGTTTTAAATAATATTTCTAAGTTTAAAAATTAATGGTTAAGAACAGCATGTTCAGCTTGTATGGTATCTGATGATGGTGGCAATCCTGAAATTTTACTTTTTCACTGTATTTTGGTATTCTAACTTTATTTATTTTTATTCTGGTACAAAGGGGTTTCCAAAATATCCTCTCTGGAGCRCACAGAACCGTCTCCAGGGGACACAYGGTGTGACTCTTGGGGATGGGCATATACAGGGTGAGGGGTTAGACTGGATAAACTTTGTGGGACTTTTCCARCTTGGCATATTCTGTGATTAATTACTGGACTTTGTCTTCCCAGAAACTCCCATCCCAAAGGAAAACAAGCAGTAGCTACGGGCTGGACCATGTTGAACATTAGTGTACTGACATGCTTGATTCTGAAGGATTGTGTCAAGAGAAATACATATGTGTGTGCATTCCTGGTCTAATTAATTTCATTTTTGCTAAAGCATATCTCTTACAAGGAATAAGTGAAGTGCCTGTCCAAAACTGAGATTCTCCTACACAGACTTGCCTCTCTTCCCTRTTTGCTTATACATCCCATGTTTCCCTAGTTCATTTCTACATAWAGCCTTGCATGGTCAGCAAAATCTGATCCTGACAGAAAACTAGGAAGCTATGTGATGTGCACCTTCTAATATCTGCTTTATGTTTGCAAATAGCTACCYCTAAGTAAGAATTTTCAAAGAGATTTGGTATTTTCTTAGCAGGTTGAAGTTGAAGTTTACCGGAGAGATTCAAAGAAGCTTCCTGGCCTGGGAGATCCTGACATTGACTGGGAGGAGAGTGTCTACTTGAACCTCATCCTGCAGAAGGTAACAGYGATGCTTATCTGAATTTCAGGAGTTATTTATGCAGTTTTGCCTTTCAGAATCTAAATTAACATAAACTGAGATGTTTATAATTTTTCAAGAGTCCTAATAGCTTTCATCAAAAAACTTTAACTATACGCAGTGAAGCTGGGCTGGGTTTTACGCTCTGTGACAAAGTTTTGCAAAAGGAAGGCTTCATCAAATTTAATGGGTTTTGAGAGTGAATGAATGTTGAGCAAGCAACATTTCCATTAGAGTTCACAGTGCACCTGAGAGAGGGGCCTGCAAAGTGTAAATGCAGTGTCATGTGTAATGCTGGGGGGTTGCTACTCTTGGCAACAGAGCTTTAATAAAATGTTTGGTGGTAGGAACATGAGGCCAAACACGAATTATTTCTTTAATTAACTCATAGGTTGTTTGGTTATTGTGTGTGTCACATTGGTGCTTAGGAAAGCTGAATATTACTCATTTGAGATCCCTTAAAAGTGTAGCTGATTATGATCTCAGAATGGGAAACTTTGGCTCATGCACACATCCTGGAAAATAAATTGTTTTCATTCTCTCTCCTTCCTCCCAGAAGTCTCTGTGTAGAACTTCTCTGCAGGGAGCAGTTTTTGCCTTTATTTGATGTTCAATAAARCCAGGATACATTTGCCACAGTCAGAATTCAGAGATGATGTTACAGCTGGGCATTGCTGTCCAGAGCTATTGCTCTTGTTTCTTGTAAGTTTTTTCAGGTTGTTTGGAAGGTTGTGMTTGTGCTTTCTGACCACTCTAACATGTCACTGGTGTTCATTAGTGTGTCTCTTTTTCCCTTTTCTAAGGGAGGAAATCTTTTCCATTTCTATCCTAAAGTGTGCTTAGGTCTGTGTGTGTGTGCTGCTTATTTCCCCAGCTGAAAGGAGCTCRTGTTAAACAATATTGGCAGGGCTTTCCTTACCTATTGGTTGTGTACCTCAACAGGCAGCTGTGTGAGAGATTTTAGTGTCACTGAGTTAATGAACAAACACAGTCTTGAAAACCGTAGGAGGTTCAGTGTAATAAAAGGAGTACAGAAAACAACGACACCAAAATGTCTTACTTTCTAAGCTAAAAAAAAATACAAGAATGTGTTCTGCTTCATACAACCAAATGTTTTGTTTTCCCAATTCTAAACCTTAAYTTCTGTGTCTGTTCCAGCTGGATTATGTGGTGACCTGTGCTGTGTGCACACGCTCCGATGGAGGAGATATTCATATTCACAAAAAGAAATCTCAGGTGAGCTTCCCCTTTTATTGCTGTGGATCAGAGGTTGGCATCCAGTATTACCTAATCCTAAAAGCTGCTCCAAACCTGGGGCAGTGGTTCTGAGGCTGTGCTCTGACAGATTCATCCTCATGAAGCAGCTCAGGTCTTTGTTTAGTGACATTTCTTGCCAGTCATCTAGATGTGAGATCTAAATGTTCTTTATAGCTTCTCTGAAAGGATTGTGAAGACCCCTGCATGCTTCAGGCTGTAAATCTTTGCCTGCTGGATTTATGGGAGAGAGGGAAGGTGCTTTGGGGAGGGAGGACTATGACACCCAACTGTTCCCCAGTCCGAGACTAAACCTGAACTGTGTCAGACCTGGGTTATGAAGAGCCTTCAGAGTAAGTTTCTAATGTAGAGCTACTAAACAGCAGATAATTTACTGATTACCAATGTGTATTTTTATTATTTTATAAGTTCTTAGTTTGTCTCTTAAATGGCTCGTGCCTTTCATCTCCAGACCATAGGCTTTTATCATTTGTGTGAAGTTAATCCAGAATTTAGCTTGGTGGAAGAGACTAAATAACAAGCATAGAGGGGATAGGAACAAGAAACCGGAGGTTTCCCCATCCAGTTTCCAGTTTTTCCAGATCTTGGARCAACTTCTCCTAGTTAGCAGATATTCTTCTTTAAAAGACTCCTGTTGCAAAAGGCAGTTTCTCCCAGGCATTTCTGTTCCCTTACTTCGTGCAGCTGCTTGCATGGCTTTACCTAAATAAACCAGTTATGTTTTTTTTACCACTTTAAAAGAACTTTCGCTTTGCCTACAAACAAAACTAGCAATGCTGATTATTGTCTCTGTGATTTACATTGATTAAGCACATTTTTTTTTTCTTTTGGTGCTGTTGACATGCTACATTGCATTGCTGATTTAAGTCTGTTATTTCTCATTGCTTTTTTCTCATGGCTAGTCCAAATTTCAGCCCAAGTTAACTTCTGCAAATGTTTTTGAGAAAAATCCGTAAACATTATTTGCAGATCTGAGAACTAGGAAGGAGAAGATGAGAGGTATGTCCTCACTGCATGTGAGCAGTGTTTAGGATGAAGAGGAAGTTTTTTGTTCCTCATTTCTGGAGGCTCCTGTCGTGGGACTGCTTATAAATTGTTGTGTTCCCTTTTCTAGGAGAAACTTGTCRCACATTTAAACTTACCAGTACACATCAGTAACATTTCAGCATCATCATTTTGATCTATTGAGAGAGTGAAGGTGCGTCCCTGTGCTACAAAAGCGTGTTTGCAGTTGGGCATTTCATTGTCATGTCCACCATTGAGGCTGTTGGTTTAAAATGAAGGAAATCCACCTGATTTGGATCTGCATTACCACTCTGATGGTTCTTGCTTTAGAAAATGCATTTTCTCCTGCCCACGTGCAGCCAGATGTTGATGGCCTGAGACTTGCAATTCTACTCCAGACCTGTGACAGAGCTGCTCTGCTCATACAAGTGAGCGCCTGTGGCATGAAGCAAATATGAAAACAGCTGACTTTCCCCTAAGTTATTTTGGAGACCGCTGGCTTGACAATAAAATCTCCACAAACTCTGTTTTCCTCATGTGTGCCTGACTGGAGATGAGTTTGGGGTATGTTTTGCTGATCATTGGCTGGTGTGACCTAATAGAATAGGTCCTTGTTTCAGGCATTGCTGCAAATAGCACTTTTGAGGAGTCTGATTACTTTCTAATGATCTTTCTAGTCTTGAAGTAACCTTCCTTTTTTATCCTATTTCGATGTGCATAAAAGCTTCATAAGTACAAATGAGGAAAAGCAGCCCTCATGAATATCTGATATCCTATTCTTAATTATGTTTTTGGTGAGTGGTTTGTGGCAAGAGTGTCATGAGTTTGACAGCCTGGTCAGAACCAGAGCTCTGAGCATGTTCACAGTGGGCTAAGATCTGACAAGTTTCTTTAATTCAAAGTTTTGTAAATAGATGGGGAAGCAAAGAAAGCTCATTGGTATGAATTCCTTCTCCCTCCTAACCTACTCATTAATCTTTTTGGAATGATAATATCTAAAGTCTTTAGCTATTTAAACATAGGGTTTTTTTGTGTAGTCATCAAAGTTCAGGAACTGCTTGGAAGGGAGAAATGTGCAAGAGGAAGCTCTAGTGATAGGGAAAGAAACAGAAGCAGAAGATGTGGGTGAGAAACCAAGTGCTTGTCCTCCTGTGGGTCGTTGTCTCGGTTTGAGACATTTTCAAAAGTGAAATAAGTAACTCTGAAATAAGTAACCTTCCCCTTGATTCCAACCAATCCCTTTCCACTGGTAAGGAATGAAATGCCTTAGTAGATTTAAGTGAAAAAAATAACATTTTATTAACAAAGAGAACATTAACACGCAGGGGGCAAAAAGATACCGAAATGTTGAATTTCGCAACCTTACGGGAACTTAGAGAGACCCGAAATGCCAGAAATACCCGTTCCCGAAATGGTGTGTGCAGGAAGCAGCCGTGTGGCCAGGGCACAAAGGGTAGGCGGCCTCACACCTCCCAGGCGACCTGGTGTTCCCAAAACAAAGAGCTGGGATGGTGGCAGCCCCCCG